AGAAATCTGATCAACATAGGCTAACAGTTCTTTTGGAATATTCATGATAGAATCAATATCTTTAACTTCGGCATGAGGTCGAAGGAACTGCATTTCGTAATCCGGGCCGAATGGTCTGTTTAATCTTGAAGGAACTTCTTTGTTAGATTGCATCATCGACCTGATGGTTAGCTGTAAGAATATCTGAAATGGAATAAACTTCCTTGTTCTCGAGAAAAACTTCTTAGCGTGCACCAACTCTACCAGTTCATTCCAGATGACTATTGTGTAGTCATAATGCCTGTTGAACACCATGTCATGGAAGAATTTAAGGAACATTGTGCTGCAAGTATCGATACCGTCAGTCTTCAAAGTAAGGCATCTGCTCAAGATTGAGAACAGAAAATGCCATACTAAAGGTAAGACTTCGCATTTAAACGGCGACAGATGGTTACGGATGGTTAAGGATTCTAGAATATCCTAACTTCTTTATATCAGCACAAAGTTCTTCATCTGAAACGAACTCTTCCAATTCAGTGTTTGGTTTTGGCAGGTTCAGAATCCTCCGCAATCTTTTTAGTGTTAGCCTGCTCAGAAAATGATCTACATGGCCTTCAAAGTAGAATTGGTTTCCGTCTTTGATATATGATAATGTATATCAGAACTGTTGAAGATAGACGAGTGGAACATCTGCAGTTGCACTTAGTCCTCTTAGAATTTCCAGTATGATTGGGTATTCTGCTGGCATTTCTGGGTTTAAGTGGTGGTTATTGGGTTTCAGGTCAAGATATAAGGCTTTAAGAAAAGTTGTTTCATCGGGATCAACATTGTTTGTGGACTGGGAAAAAGATATACATGCTTTTATCGTATACGAACTGTAGTCTTTCACAAAGTAGGTAAGCACACTTGGAGACAATAGAGTGACTCCGTACGAGTACTTTACTTTGAGAGGAATGGGTTTGTTCTTTGTGTGTGAAAGAATAAGACAAAAAATAATCTTGTTCAACAAGATTCATTTGATCGCTGACACTGGAATAACGTTGAGGTTTCTTCAGTGTTCGTTGAATCTTGAGTAGATTTCACACTTGTGTAGATAGGCTTGTTATCACTGAAAACCACATTAAATCACAAACTTGCTTGTCTCTGTCTTCAGCTTTATCTTCGATATCATTGAAGGTTCGATGGTGTGAGTTTTGTCTCTTTGAGAATTACAATGCTTGTTCAGCGATCACTGAACAGACTCAGTGATGATTGCTGAAGCTGAATAAAGAGATAGTACAATTTGTAAGATAAAAAGAATCATCATAAAATCACTGAAAGAGATGATCAACAGATTCCATGTTGATTATGTGTTCCATTTTTCGTTTTCTACATGTATAGCTGTTTATATATGATTATTGATCGTAACATCGATCGCGTTAGGAACTAAGTAGAAATTGAGTGTAGTACTAGTTGAGTCTGATTCTTAAGAGGAAATTCAAGCTTTGTCCAACGAGGTAACCTAGTTGAATTTATGGTTCCATCCGTAAGTCCTTATGATTTAGTCATCTTACCTGTTTAGAGATTGCCATTTTCCTAGAACGTGGATATGATGCACCAATGAATTAATGATGTCATATTGACCAAGAGTTTGAGACATGTTAACAATTTGATTTTACTGATGCTTTAATAATGCTTCGTTGTGGATCGGCTATCTAAGACTCACCTAATGGCAAGGCGCAATAAGGGGCTTGGACTCAAATCCAAGACCAACGACCTTTTTAAGCATATTATCAAAGGTATTGAAACACAATATCTTCTTCTTAAGGTGCTCCTAATACTTTAATGCCTTGAATTTTGTATACGCATCTCCTAATTATTTATCTGTATCCGGAAGAGTAGAATATACAATGTATGATCAAAATTCTTTTTCATTGGACATGAACTTGGGACCATGAATCAAAGGGTCTTTGGCCTAACGGTATCGTAGCCCTTCGCCTTCTAGGAGGTCAGGGGTTCAAATCTCACCATAAGTGAGGAGGGTGTGTGAGTTTATTTGTTGCATTTGCCGTATATAAATATTATATACTTCAAAAAAAAAAAAAAAAACTTGGGACCATGAACTTATGATCACACCTACATAAGATTCAGTTCCGGCCTAAATCATTACCAAGAAATGTGTTTATATGTTTGATTAGACTAAAATGCAAAAAACATCTTATACTTGTATGTTTGCTATTCTTACTTAATGTAAAAAGTTTGCTTACACGCCAAGATCCATAAAATCTAGATGAGTTATTCAACTGGAGATTAGCATTTTGAACCATTGTATTTGACACTTCATTCTTAAAGAACAAACATATTTCCAAAGAATGGAGAAAGAAAACATCAAATTGGCAGAAACCAATGAACACAAATTTTAGTTTCCAAATAATATTTCTTGAATTTTCAAATCTTTTTTCTCCATTGAGGTTGATGATATGTCTATGTACATCTTACCCTTTTTGGATCCGAATGAGATATACCGAATGCGGATTTGGTATTTTAGGGTCGTATTTGTGTTTGCTTTCTTGGTTTTATATGTTCATGGTTAATTTGACCATAATTAGTCTACTTTTTGAATTTGAAATGTAGAGACTTGTCTGTTTGCATGTGTTGAAGATAACACTTGACACTTGCATTTTGGCTTGAAGATTCTTCTTGTTGGTAAATATTTCATTTATAGTTTGTGTTGTTAAATAATTTAAATATCTAAAGGGTAATGCATTCCTAATTTATAATGATTGTATATATAACTGAAAGAAACCAACACACATATCTCTAACTTGTTTTTATGTTCTACATGTTGAGCTTCTTTCTTAATTGGTTTTATGTTCTTTTACTTGTTCAGAAGAGTAAAGTAAAGTAGCAAGGAAAATTGAGAAAACGATTTATCAGTTTCAAAATCACAATGTGTAGCACAGGTACACAAATAGATGCTTGCAACATGATGATTACGACAGTGCAAACAACTCTTATTGATGTCAATGTTTGATGTGAGAATTCTTTAGTCACTTTGAGTTGGGTTTTCAAAACCGTATCAAGATGTAGTAGCATCAAGCCTCATATAGTTTGTAAAAAAGATTATGCTTTTTTGTAGTATTTATTTATTTTGAAAATAAATTTAATTCAGAGCAAGGTTTATCTATCAAGGTTTGTAACTTTTGTCAGCTTAAAAAGGTACGGTTTGTTAATGCAAAAGAATTTATATTGTTCAAAGGGACCGAACATTCTCTCTAGCTAAACTATATATTTTTGTTAAGAATGGTTGCATAAAGTGCAAATACCAAAAGAGAGATCATTATGAACAAATACAAAATTTGTAAGAAACAAACACGACCTCAGTCTTAATTTGTTAGATTTCAAATTAAGAAGTAAATATTTTATTAAGTTTTTAAATTTTTTGTAAAGATATATCTTTATTTTGTTTAATTTTTCATTTAATCTTTCTTATATAAGAAAATTTGAATTTTTAATATTTAATCTTGCCCCAAAAATAAATATGCTTAATTAATATTACCATCGTTTGAAAAAAAAAATGCTTTATTTTGATATCATTCTCAACAATGCCCATATCCCTAAATACAAAAGTACGTATTATCAGTGTCACATGATCATCCGCGTTTACACATTCTCAATAGCCTCAAGACCATCTCGATGGATCCTTGGACTTTCATGCCTTCTTTCCGGAATTCGATAATCTCTAGATTACTTTTAAAAGCATTTCCATGCTCACTCATTTCTTCGAATAAACAATTATTTCTCGTTAAACCTAACCCCATGTAGTAGAGATGTGCATGGTCCAGTCCTAAAAATCTAGTCTTGTTAATGCATTATTCAGTATCGGCTTCATACAGACCAACTTGTCTTAAAAATGTTGGACCGGTCTAGTATGGACCGAAAGGTCTAGTATGGACCGAAAGGTCTAGTCTTTTTGCCCTTTAAACCTACTCTTATTGATGACGACATTAAAGACCTTATATTAATGATTAAACATTTTTTTATTAATTTGATCTATGAATACATGTTAACTTATCTATCTTTAACATTCTTCAAGAAAAAAAAGGATCTTCCTTGACTTACTCATTCCTTTGTTAATGCCCAACATGGATAGATAATCATTAAAGGTCCTTGTGTATCCATGGGTGCATCTAAGATTTACTTTTATGCATTTGTACAAGCTCAATTCAATATTGTCAATAACAGTTTGATAGTAGCTCAATGAACTTTAAATTTCAAGAAATATGAGATGACTAATAGTTGTGTTTGATGAGTTCAATATTGTTCCATCTATTTCAAATTCAAGAAATACATATGAGCTTCATGTGTTCGAGATAACTGTTGGATCTACGTCGGATTCAAGAAGATCATATCCTTGTGTATCCATCAGTGCATCTAGTTTTCTTTTTTTAGATGACTTTATACAAGCTCAATGCGTATGACAACAGTTTGAAAATTATTCAACTATCACAGATATTTTCGATATTGTTTTGGTATGAGTAATGCAATCTAAGATGCAAACAAATATGCCCAAGAATGTTTATGGTATGAGTAATGCATATGACTCATTGAGATCCTTAAAAGTTGACCAAAAATAAAAACCAGATGTATTTATATATATAATAATAAATAATAATAATTTACTTAAAAAAACCAAGGCCATCACAAAGGCTATAGCTCCTTTGGTTAATTGTAAATAAGGAAGATATATGTTCTTTAAGAAGCAGGCATACCAATTAATTAAAAGGACCATAAAAAAAGAGGGTCCAGCAGCATGCATGCTCATGCCTCATCCATCACCACTAACCCTAACTTAACTCCAAGATCCTACTTCTGTTGGAGCATATAACATACATATACATAGACACACACATATATACATATATATATATATATCTATATTATATGTATAAATGTGTATGTATGTGTGTGTATATGTGTGTATGTGTATGTATATATTTACAAGAAGCCCAACATGCCACTAGAGGTTGGTTTGGTTTTTTTTACTGGTGATGAGAAGTTGTGGGACTGTCAAAACCCCATCTACTTAATCGAAGCAAGAACGCTTGTACCTCCGATGGATTGCGAAGCGAGTGCAAAGCCATCGTCTCTCTTGGTTTCGACGATACTACGATTGGATATCCTCCTCTTTCCCTTAAAACCTGAAAAACAAATATTCTTGTCAAATTTCAAATTAGAAAAATAGAAGTGCATAGTTCAAATATGGACTTGTAGTCTCTTAGCAATGTCACAGAAACAACTCCTCCTGTCTTGTAGGATAGAGATAACTGATAAGATCCGCATACATCTTACTTTCATACCCCATTCTTGGGTGGAACATTTGTTTGGTGAGTCTTATGAATCGGTTAGAAAAGGAATGTTGAGAAGGAGAAAGAAGGGTTTATGTATTTATATATACCTTGAAAGCATCTTCATCTGTTCGATCATCTCCTATATATATGGGGAAGACATCATCGGATTTCTGAAACCCTAAAGTGTCGAGTAAGTAAATAAGAGCATCACCTTTGTTCCACTGTATCGATGGCCGGATTTCCAACACCTTATTTCCCCCAGTCATATGGAAATCTCCATTGTTTGCAAGCATCAATTGGACTGCCTCTTCCACTCTTCCATAATCCTGTATATAATCCACACCAAATGTTCATGATATCAAAAACTTATGAACAAGTTCCATCAGCTCTATCCAAAAACAAAACATCAGAATCTTAAAGATTGGATACTAAATTTGGTTTAGTTGTGCTTGTGCTGTATATTTACATATATATTATATGGTCATGATGATGAAGAACGGGTGCATAATGCATACCTCATCCTTAACATGCCGATAATGAACAGAAAGGCAAAATTTGTTATCCTCAATCATGACCCCTTGTATGTTTTTCATCCTCTCAGTAAGCTCGCTTAATATCTGTTCATTTCACATTTCATAATCAAATTGATTTGTTATATTACAAAAAAAGGACATGATCGATCGATCGCTAGCTGTTTATGCGAATGGGTATAATTCATCTTAATTAATTACCTTCTTAACTGCCGGTAGAAAATCTTGAGCTGGTTGGAAGATGATAACTTCATTCCCCTAACAAATTTAATATCTTACACGTTGATTAATGTGTGTATATATATGTATATGTATAAACTTAGGGGAATCAATCAATAGTTAAAGATATGATTAAAAAAAAAGAAAAAGAAAGTGGAGCTAATTAAATACCTCATTATCAAAGCTTGTTTGGTGATATTTCTTATCATAAGACTTGTTCTGTGGGGGTGGTCCCATAGTTTCCATCCCATGACTCCCCGAATAGTACACCGTATTTAGCTTGACAAAATCAAAAACCTGATGATGGAGTGAAGGGAAAGAATGCATGATTGAGAACATATGATGATGCAAGTATTGCAATCCAATTACAGAAAACACATATGAGTGAAGTTACAATGAACCTTTTCACGACTCCTACCACTGATAATAGCAGTTGGAAAGCAATTAGAGACATCGTGTACTGCTGTGCGCATCTGCAAATTGTACCAAATGATATGTCAAGGAAAAAGGAAGACTCCAAATATTGTTCATGAAGAAAGAAGGAAAATAGTTCTTAAGTACCTCATCAGACATGAAGGCACACTCAGGGTCACTCACGATGGGTGATAATGTGCCATCATAATCCAAGAAAATGACTATCTGTTTCCCCTTTGAGGCATTGATCATATCACGAAACGAGCTAAGAGCAGAAGGGTGTTCTCTCTTCAAAGAACCAAAATACACAACTTTTAATTATATTGTATGCAATAGAATGGTTATAAGTTCTTCTATAGACTATATGCAATAAAGAACAGTCGTTTTATTAATATACTGCATGCACCCAAAAATAAGAATTAACATATTAAGTCACTTACCAACCAAGAAATGTAGTTTTGATCTATTGCAATTGTTTCGCCACCTCTGCTATAGCCACCATCCACATGATCATATCTGGATTTGGACATGGATTCAGATTGGGATCTTGCGGATCTTTGCATTCCCATTGCTTCGTAAAGCTTTGCTGCTGTGCGTGCCAACATCATCTATTATTTCACAAACAAAGGGACAAAGCATAAATATACAAGTAATTAAAACTATAATAAATACGCAAGTTTGTTCCACATTTTATTTCCAAAGGAATGCAAAGATATAATGCAGATTAAACTTAGAGTTCAATTGATTGGGACATGTACGAATTAATAATCCAAGACCACAAGAGACATATGAATAACAAACAAAATTAAGTAACAAGTTGACCAAGTCAAAAGACCCTTTTCACCATACTACGGTTTTCACAATGCAGTATCTAATATAAGAATGTGAGAGAATTAATTTGCATCATCCCAAGCAAGGTATAGATTAAAACACCTATTTTGGATTAAGAAAGCAAAACGCAATTTATGTAAATTAATCGACCATAACTAATGGTTCGAATATTGTTTTAATATCCCAACAAGGCCATCACATGTTTGTTCAACTTATGCTTTTAAATATGTGTAATCATTCTATTATATATATATATATACTCTTTAAAAAAGTCTTCAAGGACAAAAAAGGTTTCCAACATATATATATATATATATATATATATATATATATATACAATATTTTGTGCAAACTATGCTAACCCATCTTAATCGTTCATTTTCTCATCTAACGGTTATTATTAAATGAGATTAAATAAACAATAATTTAATTAATATATTAATTAATATGTGTATGAACAATTGTTCAAAGGATAAATTGGTCAAAAATTTGTATTAATTAATATGTGTATGAACAATCGTTCATCTTCGTGCCTATATCAAGGTATGAACATTCATGTAAACCCTATGGTGTGAACCCTAGATATATGAACATTAGCTACACCGTGTGAACCCTAGATATATGGACATTAGCTACACCGTGTGAACCTAATGAACACGTGGGCTACATAAAAAAGTTCTGATTGAATCAAGAGTGTCTACTTATTTGAAACCTTGTTGGGAATAACAAAATAACCAACAAAAAGCTAATCTTATCGATCAATGTCTTTCGCTTTTTAGGTCTAACAAAACAAATAATATCAATTTATGTGTAAGATGGGTAAGGAACGACTCAGCTTTTAAAATCTACTAAAAATTTAACGCAATGTAAAATTTGATTCTATAGATAATTGAATTTAATGATGTGGAAGTTAATCTAATTATGTACAATAAAACAAAGGATCATGCAAGAAATACAAAAGGGTCAAGATTACATATTTATGACATTTTTATATATGATCACCTTGTCATTTGAACATGGTTTGTATAAAAAGTATAAATTAGGAATGGAGGGGATGTACAGATGCATAGAAACGCGTGAAAAGTGAATTGCAAGTCTCTGACACAGATCATAGGAACAGAAAGAAAATTGAAAAGGTGCATTTCAGCTTCAGTTTAAAATAATCCAAAATCCGAATATCAAATCCTAAAGTCGGTGTTCAGATCCTTTCATCCCCACAATTTTAAATCTACGCCATACCAACTCACTAGCAACTACCAAGTGTTTCTTTTTGTCTTTTTAATTTTTAATTATCAACTAAATAACAGATTCATAAATCACAATTAGTAACAAGAATATACTTAATTTATCAAAACAGTAACACAAAAAATATATTACGTCTTAAGAAAGTATCGATATCTAATTATTCATTTTATAAGTATTATACATCTTAAAACTACAATATAAATATATGTAGCGATTGTTCACTATGTATATAATTTTAATAATTTAGTTACTATTTAAAGTATAAATATAACAAGGACTAAACTTTTGACAATTAAAGTATAAATATAATAAAATAGAGAGGGAATATTGGACCATAAATCAACTTATTAATAAAATTAATTAAAATAGTTATTTTAGACGAGTGGTTTCACTTCTTAACCATTTCTTTCCAAGGTTTGCCAAAACAGTTTTAGATACGCAAAAAACTTACTTGTCCTAGCCAAATGAAAAAGAAAATTACACTTTTTACATTGTGTCTGCAAAAGAAATTACGTTTTTCATCTAGGTACTAAAAAAAATACATTTTTCACCTAGATCCGTAAAAAATTAAAATTACAGAGCTAGAACTATTTTGATAAACCTTATGAAAAAATAGGTAAAACGTGAAATCACTCGATTGAAATGATTATTTTAATTATTTCTCTTAAAATATGCTCCTATAACTAAATTTTAATATGTAAATATAAAAAAGAATCATTTATAATTCTCTCAAATAAGGTAAAATAAAATGTAGAAAATTTATTGTTTTCTTATAAGAACCAAAAGGGAAAGTAAGAAATTTATTAGATGATAAATAAATTAAGAAATCTGAAGAAAAATGGTAAAATATTGAAGATACAAAGTCTTTTTATGAAGAATTCTCTGCCAAGTTTGTGAAATGGTAAGCAATAAATATACCCGTAAAGGGAAAATATGAGGTCAAAAAAATACGATTGTAAAGGGAAAATATGAGGTCAGAAGCATCTATCAAATAAATATTACATTTCAATTTTCACCTATAACCTATATTTTTTTATTATGCATAATTATATCTAATTCGAACAACCAATTAGTTTACATTTTTTGAAATTATAAAATTAATCTATTTTAACTAATTTTAGGAGATATTTAAGAACAACGAGAAAAATCTTTAGTAAACCTGAAGAGATTCAAACTGTAACAGAAACTCCAAATATATCGTCACTGAAGCTAACTTCTTAAAATTAATATTCATTCGAATTAAAAATTGATTAATGTGTATGATTATAATGTTCACACAATTTTTAAGAAATGATTATGACATGTAATCAATTTTGTAATGCTAAAAATGATGTGCTTTAATGGTAAGCATGCATAACTATTGACTATTAATGACAACATAAAAGGTATGGTCCGTTATATAAAATCCTAAATTTACGTAAAAAGCACAAGAATATCTTCAGACCCACAGCTCAAATTTATATAAAGCTAAGAGAAAATAATAACAAAACCAATAATTTTCCTCAATCAACCTGTTTTTCTTTCATTCGTTTTTAAATTGTTCAAAAATAATATCTTTGAGTTTCTTGATATTCTGACGCTTCTTTTCTACATTTTATCAAAATTTTAATTTATACAAAAGTTATTACAACATAAGAATATGTGAAATCCTAGGAGGTGTTTGAGATTGTTTATTTGAAACAACTTATGTTTTTCTATAAAAGTCTTTATCAACTTATTATAATTTAAAGAAATTAACTTCTTCATAAACTCCTTATTACCGGTTTGACACCGGCATAAACTGTTTATTCAAACACTCAAAAATGTTTATTACCGATGTCACACCAAAATAAGTTAATAAGTTGTTTTTATAAACAATCTCAAACACCCCCACTTTCTAAAAGATGTCAAAAAATGAGAAGATATGAAACCTTTATTAGATACCCAAAATGGAGTTCAAACATATATAAAAGAGATTGGGAAAGCCTATATCAGGACTTGAACGTATTTTTTTTTTTTTTTTGGAAGGAAAGCTAGATGAGTAGAAATTGTGTTGAAATATTAGGGGGTCCACGAGCAAAAGAAAAATAATTTGAATCTAATTGGTATGAGATTCTAATCTATATATTGGATACAATACAATTCTCTTCAGTTGGTCAAAACCTTTTTATTAATTATTATTCATTAATAATGATGTGGACTACCACATAGAAAACGAACACCAACTGGTTTCTTTAATGATTCATCGCCAAAACGAAGAAATCGGCATAACCACCGCCACCGGTTTTCTATCGTTTTACTTACAGATCTCCCGTTTCTGTTAATGTGCGAGATTTCGTGCACCACATAAGACAACAACAACGGCCGCCATAGCCGATAAACAAAAAGAAAATACATGGAATGTGCAACGGAAACGATGAAACCAGACAGTGAAATAAAAGTCAATAAAACGCCATTGGTGATTTGATGCAACGAATCACACTGATAAACAGAATTCTAAGCGAGATTATTGTAAAAACTTGTTCTACTATTGAATATCAAATGAAGAATGTGTGTGTGTGTGTGTGTGAGAAAGAGAGAAAAGGAGAGAAAGAATGAGAATCTTACCAGCTGGAGGATTTTCGGAGAAGAAGCTTGCAGAAAAAGAAAAGAGAGCAGGTGAAGAAAAGGGAGAGAAAAGGGGTATTTATAGATGGCGAGGGGCGTCTCTGGTAATTTCCGACGATTTCCTCAAAGATTCTTTTTTTTTGAAGTATTTTTCCTAAAAGATTCTATAAAGGAAATATTAGACTTTTTGAATAAGTTGTTCAAGCTTTCTATAAATTAAAATAAAGAATTCCAAATTTAAAAAACATCTAAAAAAAAATTATTATACTGGATGTCCAGCTTTTTATACGAGCCGATTAATATCAAGACGATCACTTACTTTGCAGTAGCTCGGAATTACTGTATGTGAACTTTCGTGCTCACAAGAAATTTTTTATTTCTTATTGAATTTGAACATTGTATCTCCATGCACTTTTGACTTTAAAGTTCAAGCTCAAATCAATCAGACATCATCCTTATAGTTGAAAAAAAACATCTAAAATTAAATGCTAAAGAAAAATTAAAGTATATTAATTCATTTTTTATTCTCCCACCATAATTGTTTTTTTATTATTTTATAGTTTTTACAAAACATGTTTTAATCAAAAAATTAATTAAGTGTTTGATAAAATGTATCAGTGATATTTTGTTTGGACGTGAACATAATTATGCTGCAAACTACAGTTGTATATAAAGTTTGGTCGAAAGTCAGTTGGGTTGCTTGAAAAATTGTTAAGGTATTACATGTATTGAATATTTTAATAATATGATTGATTATGTAATCTTTATAGAAGTGGTTAGGGTTTTAAGGTAATTTTTATGAGATTTTTTTTGCACCATTTCAGATAAATTATAGAAAATCTGTTGTAAATACTTTCAAATCGGTTGAGTTGAGCTGTTGAGTTGGATAGGATTTCATCCGTTTTAAAACTTTATGTTATTT